CGTGAGCGAGGCCGCCGCCCCCGGGGGTCTACGCAGATCAAAAACCAAAAAAACCCACAAAACGAAACGACACACAACCAGCCCCGGTTCTCCGGGTTCTCTGAGCGGTCTTCTCGGCCTCCCCCCCATCCGCACACCGGGCCTCCCTTCTCAGCCTCCAGTCGGCCTCCTCCTCCGAGCCGGGGAAAAGACGAGAAGGGACGGATGTTTGGAGGCCGGGGCCGTTGCTGTTGTTCCCAGAAGCACGAGGGCGGCCCGGCCCGGCGGCCTCTGGCTGGACCTTCACCCCGGCCGGCCGGCCGTCCTCCCCGCGCCTGCCCGGCCTCTCCCCTCCTCGTGACAGGGCTGGGCGGCCCCGCCCGGCCCCGCGGCTTAGGCCGGCTTATTTGCTCAGCCTCATCCTTTGCCAATCCGTTCCTGAAGGACACGGCCCCGGGCGGGGCGGCCGGGGCAAGGGGGTTGGAGGTCGAGGCCTGAGAAAGGAGGCCAGCCCGGCCTCCACTGCCCGCTGAGACTCCCCCTCAAGGTGACCTCCCAGAGAGGGCACCCCGACTCCTCCTCGGCTCCTCGGGGCGTCCGACGAGGCCCTACGTCCCCCTCCGTCTCCCTGCGAGACCCCCTCCCACCCATTTCCCAGGGAGGCCCAGTAGAGGCCGGGCAGGGAGGCCGGCAGCAGCAAGACTGAGGCCCTGCGCCCCTCAAACTTCCTCCTGCCTCTCCCCCCCGTGTCCCCGAAACACAACACACAGCACCCCGTTTCTTTTCCTCTCCTGCCCGACACCCTTGTTTCCACCCCGGCCTCCCCAAACCTCCAAACCCCGGAGACTGGAGGCCGGGTAGCGAGGCCGGCCGTTGCTAAGCGGCCCCCTTGCTTTTTTCTCTCTCTCTCTCTCTCCCCGCTCGTAAAAAATAACTCACTTCTGGCTTCCCCTCCCTTTTGGCGGCCAGGCAGACAATAGAGAGAGAGAGAGAAAATAAAATAAAAATAAAAAAAATTTTTTTTTTTTCTTTGTCTCACATGACACCCCGGTGACATCGATCCGGGGAGGAGGAGGAGGCGGGGAGGCCCGGGGGCGGCCTCCGAACCTCGACCCCTCCAGACACAGAGACAGACACCCGCCTGGACCCGACTCACCCGCCTGTCACGTCCAACTCACGTTGCCTCCGGGCGACTCAGACAGGACAGGCAGAGGGGACAACAACAGGGATGGGGCGCAGGAGAATTTGGGGACGTCGCCCGTGGTTCCCCCACAAAAAAGGCCTTTTTTAATAAAAATACCAGAGGCCCAGACCAGGAGGCAAGAGAGGCCCGGCCCTTTCTGTTCTCGGGGAGGCAAAGTGAGGCCCGGGTCTGGCAGGCAGGGACACGACAGGGACAGACACACGCACGGGGCAACCGGCCGCGACCAAAATAGCCCGGTTGGTGCCCGTGGCCGGTTTTTTTCCTTGAAAAAAAAAAAAAAAACACCCCGGCTCAGAACCGGCCGGGTGCCCCGAAATACGTCCCCGGCCAGCCTGGGACTCCAGTGAGCTAGATCTCTCTGTCTCCAATCTTGGGGACGAGCTTCCCCCTCCCCTAAAAAAAAAAAAAATATATATATATATAGGAGGCCGTCAGGTCCCCCGCTGTCTCTGGTGCCCAGTCCTAGTGGGGTGCCGGGCGGCCGGGGGGGGGTCGGTCGGTGGCTTGTCACCTCTCTGCCTTTCCGAAAGCGAACCCAACTCCCAAACCCCCACACACACAGACAAAGTCTTTTGGGGAACAGAAAAAAAAGAAAAAAAAAAAAAAGATAAACCGGGTGTGCACCCTCTCCTGCGGCCCACCAGCCCCAGGTAGGGCGCCACCGAGAGCCATGTCCCTTTTTTTTTTTATTTTATTTATTTTTTTTTGGGGGGTGGGGAAGGTGACCCCACCCAGGCCTGGGGTGTCCCCTGCCGGTTGCTGGGTTGCTACACTGCTCCAAGCCCAGCGCGTGCATGCAATGCATGCAATTTTGGGTTTTTTTTTTTTTTTTTTGCAGCTTTTGTGCAACCACCTTGCCCGCACACCTGTCCCAGCCTGGGCCCCAGCCTCCCCAGGTGGTGGGTCAGGCAGCAGCAGGAGGAGAGGAGGAGGAGGAGGAGAAGGGGGAAACCCCATGCTCCTCCTAGGACACGAGAGAGGGTGCCCCCCCAACCCCAATCCTCCTCCAACCCCCGCGTTTTTGCCAATATGACCCCCAGTGCTAACAGGGCGCCACGCGCGCGCGCGCGGGTAAACTGAGGCACGCGCCCCAGCCGCGCGCGCGCGCGGAGACAATGCCAGACCCCCCCTTCGTTGTCGCGGCCTGGAGTGGAAACAGACAAAGGGGACCCCCAGCACCCCCAAAGCCCGCCCCCGGGGGGGGGTACCTGGTGCGTTGGAGGCCGCGTGCGTGCGCGCCTGCGCGTGGTGGTCCCCGCCGCTGCTGCCGCCCGGCCCGGCCCGGCCCGTTGTCTGCGCCGCCGCCGCCGCGGGCCCCGCGTCCCCATCCCGCGGGGTGGAAAAGTACCGGGGGCGGGGCGCGGGCGGGCAGCGCGGGCGGGCTCGCGTGGGGCGGGGCGGGCGCGGGGCCCACGCCCCTCGGCTCACCCGCACTTCCCCCGACACACATATCATGG